GTAAAAATTCTCCTTTAAGGAACCTTTGGCTGTGATTACTAATTGAAACAATAATCCACAGATTAAACTATTTGCAAGATAATCTTTAGTTGGAGTCCTACTTGTGACGTAACCATGGTAACCTGGTTTATTTGATCATCTTCAGGTTGTCAATTAATCATGCAGAAAAAATTTTATTAAAAGTAAAAGAGATTCGATTTTCCTATAATTTTAGAAAACATTTTCAGTTTGAATCATTTTTAGTTTACTAAAAAAAACATCTTTTAGGCTGGAACCAAAAGGATCCGATCATATTGGAAGCAGATTTCTACAAAAATGTGTCTGAATTTCACAGGAAGTCAGTATTTTAAACCGTCTCTTTTTTATAGTGGATGTTTTTTAAGAGCAGAAAAAACATGAAGCCAGAGGTAATTGGCCTCTGGAATCATGGCGGACGCCTAACGAGGTAAATAAAGAGGCTGGAAAACAGAATATTTAATCCTTCTCCCAGAAAATAATGTCAATTATTTAAACAGCAGTTGTTGTTTGTTGTTTGTTGGATGAAAAGGGAAGAAATGGGCGAACGGATTCATGTCTGATCTTTGGTCTTGCCGATCCCTCGCCTCATTGTTCCCGCAGAGAAAACATGAAAAACAGACCAGATAAACATTCTGCTGGTTCCCCTCCATCAAACGGGTCTAAAAATGTTTCCTTCATCCGAACCTTGAATATTTAACGGCAGAACCGGATTTAATCGGCTCCTCCTTCCCCTGTAGTTTGAGGGCTGCTCCAAGGCCTACTCCCGCCTGGAGAACCTGAAGACCCACCTGCGCTCTCACACCGGGGAGAAACCGTACGTCTGCGAGCACGAGGGATGCAATAAGGCGTTCTCCAATGCCTCGGATCGAGCCAAGCACCAGAACCGGACTCACTCCAACGAGGTAAAGACGGTTTGAGTTCACACAGAATTCCTCTTTTCTTCCAGAGGAGCTGAAGTTCTGGAAATGCTGTTCGTCCGTGTGACCTGAAAGTTAGGATCAGAACCACAGTTAGAGTTAACATCTGTCAGCTCTCAGTGACATCATCAGTACTAATTCTCCCCGAGCACGTCTATAGATAACGTCCCACAATGCATCAGGACCCGTTCTGCTCTCTATAAACAGCTGTCGTCTAACAAATCCAACATTTTTAATGAAATCTTCCAAATTTTGTCGAGAATCCAACTGATTTTCAACACATCGGTTATTTCTTGGTTTGGGGTAAAAAAATCAAATCTGGATGATTTATCCAAATGTTTAATGATAATGAATCATCCACCCCATCGCTACTAACGATACCAGCAGAGCAACATTGTTGATTACTTCCTGGACGTTGACGAGGCTTTCAGTTACCTCGTTTTCTTCCCCAGTCTGGGTCAGTCTGCTGCTACTGATCAGATTAGCTGTAATACTTTGGTTTTAGGTGCAGAAGCAGAGCATGCGCCACAGTCCTATGGCTGCAAAGTAATGCTACGTTCAGACCGCACGCCATGGAAGCAGCAAAAGCAGCTGGTTTACGTGCAAAGTCAACGGTTGATGCGCATCAAAAGGTCCTGCAGCGCGTCTAGAGCAGCAGGAGCGGCCCATCTTGACGCATCTGAGGCGTTTGACGTGCTTCACCTGCTGGATGCGCCGCATCAACCAATGAGAGAAGCTGATCTGGGAGCTGGCAGGGAGTCAGACGCAGCACTGCTGATGCAGAGCGCTATGATCACTCCTCTGAAACAGTTTATTA